CCAGGTGTACCCAGGGGTAATACATGATTGTAGCAATGACTTCTATAAAAATTAACTAACTTAAAAAAAAATTAAGTAACTTGATTTTTTAAAATACTGAATCTATGTTTTATATTTTATGTATGATACCCTAACCTTTTTTTGTTAGTATTTCATCCACAACTCTTGACGTCTCTATCTCACTAATTAGTCTTTTCTATGATTCTTTTTTATCAATCAGAATATATTGGAGAACTGTTTTATAATTTTAAAGGATTAGTCAGGAAAATGAAGAGGGCATGTTATAAAGGTGACTTAAACACATAACCACATTTTTGATCTTGTTTAGATCATGATAGGAACTACCAACTATAAAATAACATTTAGGGGACAGTTGATATAATTTGAAAGTGGACTGCGTATTAGTTTGTGTTAAAGGCATTATTATTTTGTTGGGTGAGATAATGGCATGGTAGTTACATTATTTTTTAAAAATTTTATTAGTTAGAGATGCATACTGATGTATTTATGGGTAAAATGTTATAAGGGATCTGCTTTAAAACATTTCAGGAAAAAGAGTGATGGGCATTGGGGAGGATAAAGTATAGCTGTAACAACCATATTGATCAAATATTGACTGTTGTTGAAACTAAGTGATGGATAATGGGGTCTATTATTCTCTTCTTTCTACTTTTTGTGTATGTTTGAAATTTTCCATATTGAAAAATTTAAAAAGACTAAATAGAAAACTAACATAGAGTTATTACAGAAAACTGAAAAATGGGCAAAGCCTAATGGGTTAAAAATGAACATGAAAAAAAAATGAAAAGAAAAAAAAAAAGAACATGATCCCACCAACCAGACCTGTCTGCTCTTAACATTTATATCCTCCTGGTCTTTTTCCCATGTGTAAATATGTCCATACACATTAATTTTTTAGAAAAGAAGATTGAGGTCACTCAGTGTCTAAATTTTCTAACTGAAAGATATTTAACCTTTTACTGTATCATGAACAATAGTCCTTATCATCATTCTGGTGGTTTCCAAGCATTTGGGGAAGATCCTCTGGAGAAGGAAATGGCAACCACTCCAATATTCTTGCCTGGAGAATCCCATGGACAGAGGAGCCTGGCAGGCTACAGTCCATGGGGTCCCAAAGAGCTGGACACGACTGAAATGACAGAACACAGCACACAAGCATTTTAATATATCGATGCATCACAATTTAACTGTTTCACTGTTTTATGTTTAAGATTTTTTTTTTTTATGTGGACCATTTCTATAGTCTTTATTGAATTTGTTACGATACTCTCTTTTATGTTTTGGTTTTTTGGTGAGTCATGTGGGATCTGAGTTCCCCGACCATGGATGGAGCCCACACCCTCTGTACTAGCAGATGAAGTCTTAACCCCTGGACCACCAGGGAAGTCCCTGTTTCACTGTTTTTTGTAGCTTTTAGGTGGTTCTTATTTTTCACCGCCATGAACATGAATATCCTTACGAATAAATCATTGTTCGTATCCACATATAGATCCTTAGGCCTTGATCCTGGAAATGGAATCATTGGGTTGGAGGATACATCCAGGGTATGCAGTTTTACACAAATTTCAAGTGACCTTTCCGAAAGACAGTACTGCACCAGCGATAAACGGGAATGCCTGTTTTTCTGTACTTGCAAGGCCAGAAGACAGAGTGGTTCAGACTGGTCATGAGTGTCAGAAGTGAAGAAGTGGCATTGCTGTCCAGAGGTATCCCTGATGCTTACACTGGGCGCGTGATGGCCCGGTGCGCTGGGGGAAGGCAGGGTTAGTCGCAGTGAGTGTCGGTGTGGCTGACACTTATGTCATATTAGTGAAGGGGCTGTGGGCTTAAGCAGCAACCCAGTATCTCTGGTTCTTGAGAAGAATCCTTGACGTGACTCAGATCAGTAGCACACACTCTGCCAGTTACCCTCTCGTTTTACGTTGTCATGGCTCGTGGGCGGTTCCCGGAGATGCTTCTTGGCCTGTGTGTCTTCATCTCTGCTTTGTATGTATCACCCTCCTGAATCATCTTTGAAACCCAGCTATCTTCTAAACTCTCAGGCCTGTTTCAGTACTTTTTGGTTTATCTTGGTGTTACGGTTTGATAATCATTCTTGCTCATTGCAAAATCTATATTGTGTTTAAATTTTGAGGCTTTCATAAAACGGCTGTATAACACGTATCCGGAAACTGCCAATTTATATTTATGTCCATGTCCATACTCCATGTCCTTGCTTCATTCTGTTCCATCAGCCAGTGGTATCTTAGGCTGTCAGAGGACAGGATTCTGAAACTACCTTTTAGTGTAAGAGATTCTAACTTCGTAGTGAGCTTTTGTTTAGACTCTTGGTTCAAGTATAGAATTTAATGGAGTCAAACAGATAAGACCGTTAATTGAGAAGCAAATCCGCAAACAATAAACCTAGAAAATATAGCCAAGATAATAGTATTAAAAACACAATAAAATGCTTCCCACTGTTCCTTTTAAGGAAATTAGGTCCTAATAAAAATACCCTTGAACTTAATTGTCTACATGCTATTTTGTAGTAATAAAGCTTTTGTCCCTTTGACATATCCTTGAGGGTTGTCTAAAGTCTGCCATCTTCTCAGAATAGCTGGACACAGCCCTCATGGGTTTCCTGTCTAGACTGTAAACATTTATAAGAGTGAAAGAAAGGATTATAGGGACTTTCCTGGTGGTCCAGTGGTTAAGATTCCACACTTCCAATGCAGGAGGCGTGGGTTTGATCCCTGGCCGGGGAACTAGATCTGACATGCTGTGCAACCCAATAAAAGAAAACCAGAAGTGATTATAAGCACACACACCCTCAGAGTCATTTATTATTACATCACAGAGCTGCTTCCTTGTGCAGAGGTTAAAGAGTAGGAACCACCGAAGTAGAAAGCTGTCACTCAGAGAGGAGTTTATTTTAGTAATGTTTTTTGGGGTATACTTGGTGATTTTTTGTTGTTGTTTGTTTTTAAAATGTAAATTTGCCCAAAGGTCTCTTCCAGGGCTTGCCCTGAATCTTTCCCTGTTTCCCTACTGTTTCCAAGCCTTCCCTGTGCACCTGGCTAGATGCTGCCCATGTGCTAGGGAGGAAGGAACCTGGGGTTTTGTGTGCTGTGCTCCGCCCTTCAGCCGTGTCTGACTCTTTGCAACCCCATGGAGTGTAGCCCGCCAGGGTCCTCTGTCCATGGGATTTTCTAGGCAAGAATATTGGAGTGGGTTGCCATTTCCTCCTCTAGGGCATCTTCCCACCCATCTTCAAACCCATGTCTCCTGCATTGGCAGGCGGATTCTTTACCACTGTGCCACCTGGGAAGCCCACCAGGTGTTCTATAAGAAGCTGAAATAGATCACAAACTGTCCTGGGCACTTTTTCTACTCAGCCATTTACACCTCACAATAATATTGCAGTGGTACTGCTATCTACAGGAAGAAAAGCAGATTTTGGTAAGTTCAGTACTGTCACTGAGCACTCACAGGGAAAAAGAGGCAGCTGTAGCATTGACAGCAGGAGCTGTTGGTCCCTCTGGAGCAGGGATGGGTGGGGGCAGCAGCGTACCTGGTGGACTGTGCAGATCTGGAATCTGAGCCTTGCGTGATGGCGTTTGGGCGAAGCCAGCAGTGACAGGCTGGGGGCATTGCCTTCCAGTTGTCATTGTGCCAGGGCCAGCTGTAATTAGGGGAGCCTCCCCTGGCTCAGAAAAACTCTATTTTGATTCTCTTTCATTGCAATATGATGGGAATTGTAGTTCTAAGGCCATTTAAATGGACTGAAAAAGTTCGTTTTTTTTTTTTCAATTTTTCCTTCTGTTAGTGTCCTAAGGCTGCTGTAACAAAGTAAGGAACCACAAACTAGGTGATGACTGAGAACAACAGAAATGTATTGTCTCACAGTTCTGGAGGCTGGAAGTCTAAAATCCAGGTGTCAGCAGGCTTGGTTTCTGCCCAGGGCTCTGAGAGAGAATCTGGTGGTTGCTCCTCTCCTGGCTTCTGATGATCTTGGCTGTTCCTGGCTTGTAGATTTATCACTCCGATCCTTCACTTGCACACAATGTTCTCATGTGTGTCTGTGCGTCCAAATTCCCCCTCTTACAAAGATACCAGTTGGGACTTTGCTGGTGGTCCAGTAGTTAAGATGCCACACTTCCACTGAAGGGGCACAGGTTTGATCGGTAGTTGGGGTGCTAAGATCCCGTTATGCAGCGCAGTGTGGCCAAAAAATAAAAAACAAAGACACCAGTCATACTAGATTATGACCTCATTTTAAATTCAGCCTCTGTTACACTTTCAGCAAACATAGTGCCAAAATGGTACCCATGGTCTTCCTGTGCTTGACCTGAAGGCGGGATTGGATTCTCTGTTGACCAAATGGCCCAGGGCCTTAGTGTAGCTTTCTTGGCTTTGGGATCAGTTGACAGAATTACCCACAGCTAAGTCTCTGCCACCTGTGCAGGATGGGGTGGAGGGAGAAAAGGTCCTGAGCTCTTTATTACTTGGTTCAAACATAAGCCCTTTGTGACCTCCAATAGTTGTTTTCCGTTATTTGAGACGTTGAGGAGTACGCTTCTTATTCTTTCACAACAGCAAAGCAAGAAGACAAACTTGCTCTCTAAACAAAGAGCAGCTTTTAAGCAGGGAATGTGTGGTCTTCCAAGTTTCCCCTTCTCATCACCAACAGCCATTCTCTGGGAAGCATCCTTCACTCCAGAACAATGGACATTAGTTATAGTCTGTTAATTCCTCCGGTTTCCCACGAGAAGGAGCTTATGTCCACAGCACTGGCGGGGAGTTTCAGAGCCTATCTTAGAGCTTCTGCTAAGGAACTTGTAACATCGAAGGAAGTGTCCTAGGCAACCTCTGGAAGGGAGGCTTTTAGTTTATCCAGGCTTTTGCCCTCCCCCACCCCAAGTATTGCTGCCCCTGGGGCCAGGGAGTGAGTGGCAGGGCTGCGGTCAGAGCTGTTCTCACTGTGCGTGTGTCTCGTGCAGACACCAGCTGGAGACCCCGGGTCATTACTCTCACCTGGCTGCCTTCTATGAGGACAAGAAGGGGGTGCTCCACGCCGGTCCGGGGAGAGGTGGCAGCCTGCCCCCCGTCTACTGGCTGCCTTCCATCCACCGATACATGTACCCCGAGATGAAGGTAGGTCAGCCAAAGTCTCACACAGTCCTGGGCTTGGGTCTGGGGACAGTAGTTGCTGATTATTGTTTTCATGAATAAGGAAATTTGTGTCTTGGGCTAATGCCCAAAGTCTGCTTTTGATAGAATAGGATTGTAACCTCAGCATTTGGTTCTTATTTAAAACATAAGGCAAGTTATCTTAAACAATATGCTTTGTAATACTTCCATATGGAGGGCCCAGTTGTGGTGGACTCCTGGGGGTGACGAGTGGATCTGATTCTTGTGATTGCTTCAGTTTTAAAGGCAGACATTTGAACTAAAAATGAAGTGTTTGAACAGTTGAGATATTTCTTAGTTACCGTATTTTTGATATTACTTTATTGTGTATTTTTTCTGAATTACTTTGTACTAGAATATGTTTATTTACCATTAAGAGAAGACCCAAGCAAGTGTTAGATGTTGGGAGGGTACAAAGAGCCTCCCCCTTTCCCTTCTCCACCAGCTCTGCCCTCCCCCTCCTCGTCCGCTTCCTCCTCCTCCATCCCCCTCTTCATTCCCCTCCTCCTTCATCCCTCTCCTCCATCCCCCTCTTCAGCCACCTCTCCCTCCTCCATGCTCCTCCTCCTCCTGCAGCCTCCTCCTCCTCCATCCCCTTCCTCCTCCATCCTCCTTCTCGTCCACCTCCTCCTCCATTCCCCCTACTGTCCCCCTCCTCCTCCTCCATCCCCTTCCTCCTCCTCCCTCCTTCTCGTCCACCTCCTCCTCCATTCCCCCTACTGTCCCCCTCCTCCTCTTCCATCCCCTCCTCCTCCTCCATCCCCCTGCTCGTCCCCCTCCTCCATTTTCCATCCCCCTTCTCCTCCACCCCCCTCATCTTCCTCCATCCCCCTCCTCCTCCTCCATCCCCCTCCTCCTCCTCCATCCCCCTCCTCATCTTCCTCCATCCCCCTCCTCCTCCTCCATCCCCCTCCTCCTCCTCCATCCCCCTCCTCATCTTCCTTCATCCCCCTCCTCCTCCTCCATCCCCCTCCTCCTCCATCCCCCTCCTCCTCTTCCTTCATCCCTCTCCTCCTTCTCCATGCCCCTCCTCCATTGCCCTCTTCCATCCCCCTGCTCATCCCCCTCCCCCCTCCCCATCTTCCACCCCCTCTCCTTCTCTAACCCCCTCCTCCTCCTCCATCCCCCTCCTCCTCCTCCATCCCCCTCCTCCTCCTCCATCCCCCTCCTCCTCCTCCATCCCCCTCCTCCTCCTCCATCCCCCTCCTCCTCCTCCATCCCCCTCCTCCTCCTCCTCCACCCCCTCCTCCTCCTCCATCCCCCTCCTCCTCCTCCATCCCCCTCCTCCTCTTCCTCCATCCCCCTCCTCCTCCTCCATCCCCCTCCTCCTCCTCCATCCCCCTCCTCCTCCTCCATCCCCTTCCTCTTCCTCCATCCCCCTCCTCCTCTTCCTTCATCCCCCTCCTCCTCCTCCATCCCCCTCCTCATCTTCCTCCATCCCCCTCCTCCTCTTCCATCCCCCTCCTCATCTTCCTCCATCCCCCTCCTCCTCCTCCATCCCCCTCCTCCTCCTCCATCCCCCTCCTCCTCTTCCTTCATCCCCCTCCTCCTCCTCCATCCCCCTCCTCATCTTCCTCCATCCCCCTCCTCCTCCTCCATCCCCCTCCTCATCTTCCTCCATCCCCCTCCTCCTCCTCCATCCCCCTCCTCCTCCTCCATCCCCCTCCTCCTCCTCCATCCCCTTCCTCTTCCTCCATCCCCCTCCTCATCTTCCTCCATCCCCCTCCTCCTCCTCCATCCCCTTCCTCTTCCTCCATCCCCCTCCTCATCTTCCTCCATCCCCCTCCTCCTCCTCCATCCCCCTCCTCCTCCTCCATCCCCCTCCTCCTCTTCCTTCATCCCCCTCCTCCTCCTCCATCCCCCTCCTCCTCTTCCTCCATCCCCCTCCTCCTCCTCCATCCCCCTCCTCATCTTCCTCCATCCCCCTCCTCCTCCTCCATCCCCCTCCTCCTCCTCCATCCCCCTCCTCCTCCTCCATCCCCTTCCTCTTCCTCCATCCCCCTCCTCCTCTTCCTTCATCCCCCTCCTCCTCCTCCATCCCCCTCCTCATCTTCCTCCATCCCCCTCCTCCTCTTCCATCCCCCTCCTCCATCCCCCTCCTCCTCCTCCATCCCCCTCCTCCTCCTCCATCCCCCTCCTCCTCTTCCTCCATCCCCCTCCTCCTCCTCCATCCCCCTCCTCCTCCTCCATCCCCCTCCTCCTCCTCCATCCCCCTCCTCCTCCTCCTCCTCCTCCTCCACCCCCTCCTCTTCCTCCATCCCCCTCCTCCTCCTCCATCCCCCTCCTCCTCTTCCTCCATCCCCCTCCTCCTCCTCCATCCCCCTCCTCCTCCTCCATCCCCCTCCTCCTCCTCCATCCCCTTCCTCTTCCTCCATCCCCCTCCTCCTCTTCCTTCATCCCCCTCCTCCTCCTCCATCCCCCTCCTCATCTTCCTCCATCCCCCTCCTCCTCTTCCATCCCCCTCCTCATCTTCCTCCATCCCCCTCCTCCTCCTCCATCCCCCTCCTCCTCCTCCATCCCCCTCCTCCTCCTCCATCCCCCTCCTCCTCCTCCATCCCCTTCCTCTTCCTCCATCCCCCTCCTCATCTTCCTCCATCCCCCTCCTCCTCCTCCATCCCCCTCCTCCTCTTCCTTCATCCCCCTCCTCCTCCTCCATCCCCCTCCTCATCTTCCTCCATCCCCCTCCTCCTCTTCCATCCCCCTCCTCATCTTCCTCCATCCCCCTCCTCCTCCTCCATCCCCCTCCTCCTCCTCCATCCCCCTCCTCCTCTTCCTCCATCCCCCTCCTCCTCCTCCATCCCCCTCCTCCTCCTCCATCCCCTTCCTCTTCCTCCATCCCCCTCCTCATCTTCCTCCATCCCCCTCCTCCTCCTCCATCCCCCTCCTCCTCTTCCTTCATCCCCCTCCTCCTCCTCCATCCCCCTCCTCATCTTCCTCCATCCCCCTCCTCCTCTTCCATCCCCCTCCTCATCTTCCTCCATCCCCCTCCTCCTCCTCCATCCCCCTCCTCCTCCTCCATCCCCCTCCTCCTCTTCCTCCATCCCCCTCCTCCTCCTCCATCCCCCTCCTCATCTTCCTCCATCCCCCTCCTCCTCCTCCATCCCCCTCCTCATCTTCCTCCATCCCCCTCCTCCTCCTCCATCCCCCTCCTCCTCCTCCATCCCCTTCCTCTTCCTCCATCCCCCTCCTCCTCTTCCTTCATCCCCCTCCTCCTCCTCCATCCCCCTCCTCATCTTCCTCCATCCCCCTCCTCCTCTTCCATCCCCCTCCTCCATCCCCCTCCTCCTCCTCCATCCCCCTCCTCCTCTTCCTCCATCCCCCTCCTCCTCCTCCATCCCCCTCCTCCTCCTCCATCCCCCTCCTCCTCCTCCATCCCCCTCCTCCTCTTCCTCCATCCCCCTCCTCCTCCTCCATCCCCCTCCTCCTCTTCCTCCATCCCCCTCCTCCTCCTCCATCCCCCTCCTCATCTTCCTCCATCCCCCTCCTCCTCTTCCATCCCCCTCCTCCATCCCCCTCCTCCTCCTCCATCCCCCTCCTCCTCTTCCTCCATCCCCCTCCTCCTCCTCCATCCCCCTCCTCATCTTCCTCCATCCCCCTCCTCCTCCTCCATCCCCCTCCTCCTCCTCCATCCTCCTCCTCCTCCTCCTCCACCCCCTCCTCCTCCTCCATCCCCCTCCTCCTCCTCCATCCCCCTCCTCCTCTTCCTCCATCCCCCTCCTCCTCCTCCATCCCCCTCCTCCTCCTCCATCCCCCTCCTCCTCCTCCATCCCCTTCTTCTTCCTCCATCCCCCTCCTCCTCTTCCTCCATCCCCCTCCTCCTCCTCCATCCCCCTCCTCATCTTCCTCCATCCCCCTCCTCCTCTTCCATCCCCCTCCTCATCTTCCTCCATCCCCCTCCTCCTCCTCCATCCCCCTCCTCCTCCTCCATCCCCCTCCTCCTCCTCCATCCCCCTCCTCCTCCTCCATCCCCTTCCTCTTCCTCCATCCCCCTCCTCATCTTCCTCCATCCCCCTCCTCCTCCTCCATCCCCCTCCTCCTCTTCCTTCATCCCCCTCCTCCTCCTCCATCCCCCTCCTCATCTTCCTCCATCCCCCTCCTCCTCTTCCATCCCCCTCCTCATCTTCCTCCATCCCCCTCCTCCTCCTCCATCCCCCTCCTCCTCCTCCATCCCCCTCCTCCTCTTCCTCCATCCCCCTCCTCCTCCTCCATCCCCCTCCTCATCTTCCTCCATCCCCCTCCTCCTCCTCCATCCCCCTCCTCATCTTCCTCCATCCCCCTCCTCCTCCTCCATCCCCCTCCTCCTCCTCCATCCCCTTCCTCTTCCTCCATCCCCCTCCTCCTCTTCCTTCATCCCCCTCCTCCTCCTCCATCCCCCTCCTCATCTTCCTCCATCCCCCTCCTCCTCTTCCATCCCCCTCCTCCATCCCCCTCCTCCTCCTCCATCCCCCTCCTCCTCTTCCTCCATCCCCCTCCTCCTCCTCCATCCCCCTCCTCCTCCTCCATCCCCCTCCTCCTCCTCCATCCCCCTCCTCCTCTTCCTCCATCCCCCTCCTCCTCCTCCATCCCCCTCCTCCTCTTCCTCCATCCCCCTCCTCCTCCTCCATCCCCCTCCTCATCTTCCTCCATCCCCCTCCTCCTCTTCCATCCCCCTCCTCCATCCCCCTCCTCCTCCTCCATCCCCCTCCTCCTCTTCCTCCATCCCCCTCCTCCTCCTCCATCCCCCTCCTCATCTTCCTCCATCCCCCTCCTCCTCCTCCATCCCCCTCCTCCTCCTCCATCCCCCTCCTCCTCCTCCATCCCCTTCCTCTTCCTCCATCCCCCTCCTCCTCTTCCTTCATCCCCCTCCTCCTCCTCCATCCCCCTCCTCATCTTCCTCCATCCCCCTCCTCCTCCTCCATCCCCCTCCTCCTCCTCCATCCCCCTCCTCCTCCTCCATCCCCCTCCTCCTCCTCCATCCCCCTCCT